TTACGGGAATGCAGTTCCACAGCGTCCTCTGGCTTCGCGCGATTCCCTTTTGTCGTCCATCAACCACGTGACGCCGCAAGGCCTCTCCCACAGGTGGTCAACGAGCGTGCGGTCCTAACCGCGCCTGCGCAGCGCTGCTCGTAGCCGCGGCCTGTGCCCGGAAGCGCGAGGCCCGCTCCCAGGCTCAGTCTGACCCTAAACCCTGTGCCAGCCTCGCGCGACACCTGCCACGCACGCCGGGCCCGGGACATCCCTCCCCGCGAGCAAGGCCCTCACAGCAATTTTCCTCATCTCCCCCTACAGCGGGGAGCCCCTGCGGTGCGCTCCTTGGGGCGGGCTCTGCGCGCAGCCGCCCTGCGCAACAGCAAATGCAGCCGCAGCAGAATCAAAGGGGTGGCACCAGGTGTCAGTTAATGGTTAGGGATGTAAAATCCCGTTTAAAATGTTAACCGGCTAAACTGTATGATCGGTTGGCCGGCCCGCCGCACCGGGAGAGGGGGCTGCTTCCCCTGCACTGGGCGCTGGTTCACCCTTACCCTGGCAAGCGTGCTCCTAAGGCGGCGCTTACCAGCTAACTGGTTAACTGATTACCCTCTTTACATACCTAGTAAAGGGTGCAACTGAATCAGCTATGGAGAACCTAGAGTAGTGAATGGACCACAGGTGTGGCCTTCATCTTAGTGGGCAGCAAGATTGTCAGTAACCTGAGGTGAAAGTAAGGTTGCCCACCCTGGTGCACTACTCCGGCAAGATCTGACTGCATTGAGCCTAGAGTCCACCCCAGAGCTTTCCACCTTTCCAGATTACTGTGCCCACTTCAGAAGTCTCCCAGCCCCACTCCTGTGTCTCCCACACCCAACCTTCTGCCATGAGCCGCTGGTACCCCTTGCCCTGAGCCCCCCTCCACACACAGCACCATGCCCTGAGTCTCCTGCACTCACACCTACACTCAACTTCTGCTCTGAACTGCCTTCACCCTCCTCCCTTGCCCTGCACCCTCCCCCACATCCTACCCTGACTCCAGTGCCCACACATATCCTCAGCCTACTGCCCTAAGCCATTCCACACCCCACACACTCCAATGCGAATAAAACTGCATTAATAACAGAAAATCACAGTTATTGCTTTAATTACATATATATTACATTATAGATCCTCTTCAGGTTTCAGTATTTGCTTGTTGTCAAGTGGAATACCCGAACATGTCTGGTCTGATGTGATGTAGCAGTACTGTCCTATCGCAACCCTCACTCCCATCGCAACTTGCCCCTTTTCCCAGAACACGGGTTGCAATAGGACAGTACCTATAAGACATTTAAATTACTTTCATCCCTGGTCGTAACCAAGACGGACTCCTGGGATAAGGCACTCTTGGGGTGTGTCTAGATTGGCAAGATTTTGCACAAAAGCAGCCGCTTTTGTGCAAAAACTTGCCAGCTGTCTACATTGGCCACTTGAATTTGCGCAAAAGCACTGACGTTCTAATGTAAGAATTCAGTGCTTCTTGCGCAAATACTTTGATGCTCCTGCTCAGGGATAAGCCCTCTTGCGCAAGAATAATTGTGCAAGAGGGCCAGTGTAGAAAGGCACCTTAATTTTTTGCACAAGAAAGCCCGATGGCTAAAATGGCCATCAGAGCTTTCTTGCGCAAAAGCACGTCTATCCTGGGCACGGATGCTTTTGCGCAAAAGCACTTTTTGCGCAAAAGCATCCATGCCAATATAGTGATAGAAATGTAGACATACCCCAAGGCTGCATCTAGACTGGCACGATTTTGCGGAAATACTTTTAATCCTTTCGATAGAAGGATGCAAATGAAGACATTCGAATTTGTAAATGAAGCTGGGATTTAAATAGCTCGCTCTTCATTAGCATAATCTCGTTATGGCGCTATTTTGAAATGAAATAAAACATGCTGAGTAGACGCGTTATTTCGAGAGAAAACCCTTCTCCCAAAATAACTGTTAAACCTCATTTTATGAGGAATAAGGGTTATTTCCAGAGAAGGGTTTTCTCTCAAAATAACGCATCTACACAGCGTGTTTTATTTCCAAATAGTGCTATTTCAAAATAGCACCATAATGAGATTATGCAAATGAAGCGTGAGATATTTAAATCCTGACTTCATTTGCAATTTCGAATGTCTTCATTTGCATTCTTCTATCAAAAGAGGAATGTAGTGTAGACGTACCATTAACTATACTTGTGTCCCTAGTTCCGTGGTCACCAACATGTGGATGATCGCGAGGCCTCAACTAGTTGCTCATGAGGCATCCTGTCCGCCCCGCCCTCATTTCCCTCCCACCCCTGATAAGCCCCACTACTTACCTCAAGAGAAAATGGAGGTAGTGTCGGCTTCCTGGGGATGGACAGAAGTCCCACGGCTTAGCGCCACTTCTGGCAATTCTGGAAGTGTGCTAGCTGCTCTGCCGGGTGTACTGCGGAAGGTAGCATTGGCTCCCTGCACCGCACAGGAGGGGTGAGTCGGCCCCAGGAGAGGCGTGCGCGGGGCTTTCCTGCACAGGGGGTCAGCCCCCTGGGCAGGCGTGCGTGCGGGGCTTCCCTGTGCGGGGGGGGGGGGGGGGCCCCGGGGC